GAAATCAAACACATTTGCAAAAATAGACGTTCACTACTGAAAGATTTACCCGTTTCAGAAATATTGAAAATTCTCAAAGAGAATCTTTCAAATACTTGCTTTAAATATGACAACACACTCTATCGCCAGTCCTGTGGAGTTGCTATGGGATCTCCTACTGGCGTTACCATCGTGGAAATAAGAATTAATAACAAACAAATCATTTATGTTTAAAAATAATGGCTGGGCAGCGTATTTCTTCAGAATGATCTCTATCATTTAGATAATAACGTTCATTTGCCATCTAAACATAATTGTAACATTTTTCTTTACTTTACACTCTGAATCTGTTTCCATCCCTCGGTCGCTACATAAGTATGGTTGGATTCAAAGGCATCTCTAAGAAAATCATCGCCTTATCTCGCATGGCGAACATTTTACAACAAAGGATCTGCTAAAAATGGGCTGTTTACCGAATGGACAATGAAAGTTGTCAAAACATTTGCATGTGGATGCTAAAAAAACGGATTAAACTCGTCTAAAATAGTACCAAATATGTGAAGATTCTGGATCGGGACAACATCATTGCTGGTCTCATAATAACCGAATCGGCTTTCATCAGAGCTTTTGGGCAGCCTGTGCTGATGATGAATTAAGTTTCAAGATTTAATATCTGCCTATGTTTTATTTTCCCATTTCCTTTCCTTTCTCTTTCACTTTATTTTACCTTTGCTTTTCTCATCTGTCTCCATTATAATGATTTAAGTGCAAGTTTGCTGTTCTCCATACCTTTCATATTTTTGCCGTATATTATACAATGTGCTGAAGAAGGAACACGGTTTTGAATTCCAAAAGCTTCACTTGTTAAAGTGTTATATCCCATGCCTGCAACGGTGTCCTGTCTTAATCTATCATCCTAAGAGCCTATATATGACTACCGGATATATGTTGACGGAGATACTGAGAACATGCGGCGTAATAACACTTTTAAAACTTTCTCCCCCTTGCAACAAAACCTGGCATCCCTTTTTATTGCTGTAAGGTGTAGTGTATGAGATACGGACCGAAATGTAGGTAGCTGTCCATCTCCATCACGATGTCATGATAAACCAGTATTTACTAGTATTTAGTGTCTTGATAAATGCCAGTTTCCCGTCAATCACGGTGAAGCTATTTTCTCAGAGATCGATTGTTCAAATAACTATGTAACTCAGTCAAGCCGTCGACTACAGAGAACATGACATGAAATGATGCGCTCTTCAGCATAAGTAAAGTTCATGTTCGCTTTACAAACTAAACGGTGATACTGTAGAAGTTCAAAGGTATCGGTTCAAAGATGCTCGCCTGTGGCTTTTCGATTTAAGCATCAAATCATGATTCGCTCATCGACGTAATACGAAAAGAAACGAGCAATTGTTCTCAACCAGCGCCAGCTTCCTCATTATCAACAGTTCATGATTCGGAAGGCATCTGGCACTGCAGGTGCTCAAATGCCATAAACGCGCGGTCATCTTAAAGGCCCAAAAAACTAGGAGCAAGGGTCGTGCAATACGCTTTGAAATTTAGTTTGGGAGTAATAACGCGCCATGACAACGTTTTGACATTTATTTGGCAGCATATGAGGAGTACCAGTTGCTGAAACATCGTTCGTAATTAGCGTGAAGCAACTGTAGCGGACAAAATGACGCGAGGTGCATCTGGCACTGCAGGTGCTGCACTGCCCTACCGCCCTAATGGGATGATCTGCTTGCCCTCAAGGCAACTAGAACGAAGAGGGCGGTGCAATAAGTGGTGAAATCTGGTCTGGATGCATCATTTAATAATGAAAAAATGAAAGAATGATGGCATCAAATTTTTGATTCAGATTTATATTCACCAAGTGGTACAGTGCCCCTGAAATCTGATGACAGACAGTTGTTTTATGTATTAATTACTGCTCTCCGGTTAATAACACTAATTGCACAGACATTATAAAAGATGGTACTTATCGTACGTCTCGCTGACATACGACACATGTTCAGCAAATATGCAAATGACATATAATCATGTATAACAACAATGTGCTATAAAATTAACACAAAAGATTTATACTGCAACATAATCTGTCTTAAACTGCCTCCTCCTGAAGACGAATGGACCGTGAATCGAAAAGATGAGAATAAGTACATGATAAATTCGCTATGCAGTGTCAACTAGTAATGGAATTTTCGAATAACAGTAACATATAAAAATTACATTACAGAAGAGGAAAATGGATCAGAACCAATATCTTTGAACTTGAAGAAAAACAAATAATTAGTATCGGCTCCCAAAATACCGTTTGTGACGAACAAGGTATTATTCCAATGAATAAAATGACGTAGGAGACACTGCGCTAATGTAAGGACGTACAGTCACCTATGCAAATGATCTATTCTATCTACCAACCGGGTGAAACTCGGTGTATTGGAGCTGTGTTAGGATGATTACTGAACATGAAGTTCGCAGAGCAACAAAGTATCATGATTACTTTTTGAACCATATTTCTAAGCCCAGGTGGATAAAACGATGGACAGTATGATACTGTTGAATTGGAGGCGTTATGTTAAGATAATGTCTGGGCCATTCTCACACAAATACACAAACATGCTCGCAAGAAGGAGCAGGTGCCTCATAACACCCTTATAATAAATGATGAACAAAACTAATCCAAAGGTTCGAGTATGGCCTTTTCGACGTTCAGGTCTTCTATCTCCTACCTACATTTCCCTCCGTTGTGATACGTACTTCATTGCATCACGCCATCTTTCCTGTATCTGAACTTCTTTAAATTTAAATGTAACACTTTGTTTCTTTATTGTGCGTATGTGCAGAAGCTCGAACTCCGATCAACGCAATTCCTCTCTCCAGTTCACTTCAAATCTCAGTAACATGGACATTCAATAGTTCGGAACTGAAAGCCTCCTCGGAGCAGAACGACATCCCAAAATCGGTGGCCACGCATGATTCGAAAAAAAGCTCCATTTATGTTTCTTGTCTTTCAAACGATTCCTAAGAGCCTTCAAAAAATCTAACTCGTTCAGTGAACATCCCCGGAAAAATTAATGGGAAAAAATCTGATGATAAAAATAAACAAGAATGGCACAATCGTAGATGGTCGTTATTTTCTAGTATCACACAGATAGGCGTGATTCGAAGTCGAATGACAGACGGCCATGGCCCCGGTTAGTGAAAATTTCTGACTTATCTTGATCCAGATGTAAAGCATGCAATCTCCCGTCGATGCAAAACGAGATAATGCTAAAAAATAAGACGAATGCGTAGTACCGTCAAGACATTCAGATACTGTCGCGGATCCGCCTATCGTACCGTAATCAGCGATTGATAGAAAGATTGATTGTAGCCGCTAAACCCTAGTTCATGAGATCGGGACCGAAATAAGAAATATGGCGGTTACCGACTACCGAACAACGAACAAATGACAGGGGAACAGACGCCGAGACTGTACGATCAGATGTGCACATTTGCCGCAACTGCTGTGGGTTCGATGGGCGACTGCCGACAAATGAATTCTGAGTCAATCTGAAGATAATTAACCACTACCCTCAAGTGAAAATGAAGCTGTGAGTCACAGATTCTTGAAATCGAACAGGATCGTCCGAAAGCGCGGAGTATGTGCTGCTACTTTGATTCCAAGCCAGCTGACGTATGCCAAAACCACCGAATCAGAATTCAAACAATAAAGTTTGATTTACACCCTACCTTTGAGTGCGGTCACACAATTACATAGGAGAAACCAGCAACACCATAGACGAGATGAAGAAAGAACACTGATCAACGTCAGAATGGCAAGGACAGAAAGGAAAAGAGGCGAATGCAACCGATATAAGGCGCAGGTAGTCGAGAAGGAGTACGACGAGAACTTGGTGGCTGTAAAACGTGTAGCAAATAATATTGCACAAAATGAAAGGAATACCGTGAAAAATTTTTCTACCGGAAGTCAAAAGAAGCCTGGGTATTTCAATCGAACGATGCTGACATATAACCCAGTTAACATTATAACGAAGTAATGAAGTAAATTCTACTATTGATATTCAAACCTCCGCAGTAAAGTTGATACCTGTGACTGTGCAGATTTATAGAGCAGCATTATGTTTTATGTTTCATGTGCCTTTACCTGAAGACAGATCGAGCATAATCTGGAATGTTGGAGGCCACAGGGTGTATGTTCATAATAAACTCGATACGCAGCGACACTCCGTCAAGGAATCTTCGAATTATAAACCGAAAATCCACAACTTAAATGGTTAACTCAAGTGTAAGGTAACGTAGCCGATTCATTCGTACTGTGGTAAAGGTTCGATAGCGATGAAAGTACTTCGCGTATGTCCCGGTCCGAACAGTGGCCATGTTATGTCACAAAGTGCGGTCTAATTTTGGTTCAGTGACAATCAACATACCGCAAATGTTCCTCCGATTTCGACCCATGGCTCAAGGCAACAATTTACAGCAACAACAAAATGCCTTCTTGAACAATGGATCGAATTCGGAGGACCACAAACTATTATCAGAGTTCTTCAAACTTTTCATAATCAGTCTCTTCATTGATCTTCTTATAACCTGCAAGATAATTATTACACAGTTAAGTAAGTCTCATCGTGCAAGCAGCTAAACACCAGATCGTGCAAGATCTTCGTAGATAACTGATCACAACTGGGCAGCAGTCGGGCAGTGGTCAATCGCAAAGAACCTAGTTTAAATATAAATTGAAAATATTTATGAATCTCAATAAAATACCCATGAATTTTGATTTAAACTTACCCATTACAACTTCACCTTTTACGAGATGCCTTCTACGTAAAAAGTGTCAGGTCGCATATAAGGATGAACATATTACGGTAAATCATAAGTTTCCAGGAGAATAAAGCACTGGTTTTAAATCGCGATTTGTAAATAGCTTACTGAAACATTTCTCGAGTAAATGTCTCGCAGCAGCTTGTACGGTACCTTCGTGGGGGAGACTGTAGCAAGGTAGACTACCGTCACTCCCACAGCTGTGTGTGTGTTTGAATGCACTCGCTTCGTTGGCTTCGAACTCTCACAGTCGTCGCATCGGTCGCACTCGCTAGAGCCAGGGCTAGGTCCAGGTCCAGGTCCAAGTCCAAGCCCAGGCCCAGGTCCAAACCCAGGCCCAAGCCTGACCAAACCCCTCCCTACTCGTTAGCCAACGTGAAGCAGGTGCGTGCGTGGCTGCTGCTGACTCGGTGCATGAACAACTGCCTCATGCGTTACGGCCGGTCGACAAACCGAAGTATAAATCAAAGTCGCTTGCTGTCAAGCTGGTTACCGATCTGAAGCGCGAAACGCTAATTGTACCGTGTCGTGTGGGTTTTGTTTTTGTGGCCAACAGCGACAGACTGCATACACTCGACCGGCAAGCAACTCACGAGTGCTGTTCCTCAGAAAGAGCCGTACACAATTATTTTATTATAAACTGCCGCATAAAACGAACAGCGACGTAACTCGACGTCACCTCAACCTCAAGTACGACTCACAGGGCGGCGGCGAATATTGGCGGTGGCGGCTGACGGAGACTAAAGCTCACAACTCTTCTAAATCAATCTAACTCGTCGTCCAGTAACAATATATACTGGTTTATTCGTTACGAGAATGTGTTTGGCGAGTGTTCGGCGACACGCGTCGTTCGGCACATTAAATCAGTGGTTTTGTAATCGACTGCATTTGTATAATCGATACATGACAGAATGAACAGGAAGCAAAAAGCGTTAATGAAATACTTGGATGCAAAGCAAGCACTCGAATTAATGTCTACGAGCATCAAATCAGGATATCACACCGCCCAGTTGAGGATTGAACACGGATTCGGTATTTCAAGCGTACGCCCAGCAACGATTATTAAATGCAACGTAAAGCAATAGAAAAATTTCTTCGGGGCAGCGCAGAAAAGAAAAAAAGACCTCATTTGCTCAGAACGCGGTAGTTTGAAATAATCTTCGACTGTCCGGCACTTCTTCCACCAAGCGAGGGATCACAAATGTAATGGTTTGCACATGTGATGATGACGTCACAGAAAAGAGACTCGCGAAACTTAAGCCTCTATCGGCCAACGGAAGAAGATGGATCAAATACATGGATTAGATAGGACAGGGCAGGAGAAAATAAAGGACAGGCATTATCTGATCTTTGACTCCCGCCATGGAGTCTGTTCGCTTTGCAGTAGATCGCAGCTAACGTTAAGACCTCCTGTCGCAGCTGCCCCCCAGGATCGCAAAGGATTTAAAGTCGAATAAATGAGCGGACGAATGCTGAGAAACTTCGTGTACTCTTCAAAAAACGAACATCTCTTCGTCAAGACACACCCTACGGTCAAACATAATGAAATATTGGTTGGCTGAGGTATTCTCTCGTCATGTACATCTGATTACGGTTCGACAATATTGTGATTAAATGCGTTAAAGCATGGACTTTGGCGAAACCAACAGCAGTTCGTACTACGAGGCTGAACACGTGACACGAAGAGTGTTCCAGCTGTTATGAGTGTTTAGTGTTCCAACGTGCTTCGCTGGTCGAAAGTGGAACAGGGAAGCATTGATTACACATTAGCTGTCAATTACCTCTCTGGCGGTCAGCAAATAGAGGTGTTCCTTTGATACGTCGAACACCATGTCTGGCAAGACGGACGACGCCACGCCGAGCGACACCTCGCCGTATTCCTTGGCTCTGGTCGGGGATTCGAGAAGCACCTAGAAGAAAAACGGCATTACACGTACCTCATTAGATGTCCCCCGCACGGGGTAGCTAATTTAGCGATTGCGGCGATCGATGATGACAACCAGTGCCTTCACCTGGAATCGCCGCTGGTCACAGCTGCGAATGAGGCTCAAAATCTGTGCACACGAACACGGCCTCCCGTCAGGGGCTGCAGAATTAATGGGTGCGTCTTGCAGCTTAATGGACCAAGCCTCGTCCGAGCCCATTGTCACCCGCACTCTAATCGACCGCATCTGTGCCATCACCGCGAAACGATCCGTGAAAGTAAACGGTCTCTTTACACATGACTGTGCAAGCGGTGTGACCGGTCGTTTGTGAAACGAGGCCTCAACGGTGGCTAACACAACCGTCACATTCATCATCGGTCTGCCGCCCATCCCACCGACTGACAAACACCTTGGAGGGTCGTGG